ATCAGGCAGACCAGGACTGAGCCACAGAGCCATCATTGACTATTTTACTTTGAGCAAGGTATTCTAAGCCTCAGTTTCCCCATCTGTAAAATATATGAGCACAATGATAAGCTCATTTGAACTGCTGAAATCCTCTACCTTCATTGCTGCTGTGGTTTAGATATGCAATGCTCCCAAAGGCTTACGTGTTGAAGGCTTGGTTCCTATGCAGCTATGTCCAGAGATGGGATTTTGGGGTTGAGATTGGATTATGAGGGCTCGGATTAAGTCAGTGGATTAATCCATTGATGGGTTAATAATTGAATACGCTATGGGTAGGTGGTGAAAACTGTAAGAGATGGGGTCTAGTGGGAGTAAGAAAGTCACTGGGGACATGGCCTGGAGGCTTATATCTTATTCCATGCCCCTTCCTCTCTTTCTGCTTCCTGGCTGCTACAAAGCGAGCAGCTTTGCTCTAGCATCCCCTTCTGACGTGATGTTTGTATCGGTCAGCTTCCTTGGCGCTGGGAGCAAATACCCAAAACTCACGTGTCAAAGAAGGAAATGGATTATTTGGCTCATGGTTTCAGACCAGGATCAGCTGGTTCCAAGGCAGGAATACCATGGCAGAAAGGTGTAGTAGGCCAAAGCTGCCCACCTCACGGTGGCAGGCAAGTAGAGCAGGGAGACAGCACCGGAGAAGAGGAGATAAAGGGTAGAGACCCCCAAGTATTATGGTTCAGATTAGAACATCCTCCCAAAGTCTCATGATTTCAGATGTATGGCTTTTGGGAGGTACTGGATTATGGGGTCCTATACTCACCAGTGGGTTGATCCAGATGTGTTCATTCTTTTCTTCACCATGCCCTTCTACCATGGTGTTTCTGTCTTGGAGCCAGCCAACCGTTTGGGGATTGGATCCCCACATTAAACCTCTCCCTCTTTCTAGGTGTCATTATTGGGTATTGTGTCACAATGTTTCTGCTTCCTTATAGGTCTAAAAGCAACCGAACCAGCTAACCGTGGACTGAAACCTCTAACACTGAGCTAAAATGAACTTTTCCTCCTTTAAGTTGTCATTCTCTAATATTTTGTCACAGGCACAGAAAGCTAATACCTGTGTCCTTCTATAAGTATGATAGTTACACCGAAGTATTTCAAGATAGGTATCCACATCGGTAGAACAATGGAATGTAGAGTATATTTTTTTTGTGAAATTGCCAAGAAGGAAGAAATCAACTGTTCACTGGCACCAGGATAGTTATTAAGGATACAATCTTTAAAAACTTTGATCTTTGCTTCAAATACATTTTATGATCTATTTGGCCAAGTAACCTCTCTTGCCTTATGTTCAAAAGTGGGAAAATAACATTTCTTAGGATTGTTCTAAGAATTAAATATGGCTAAAACAGGAAGAGACGTTCAACTTTGTTAGCAAGAAAGGAAAGAGAAATGAAGACCACAGTGAAGTCTTCTTTTGTACTCCCTGGATTGGTACAAAATTAATGCCTGTTAATATTCACCTTTAGATCAAGGATATCTCATACATTGTTGGGGAAATGTATGAATTTGTACAAACATTTGCAAAAATAATTGTGTCTGCTCTGGTACAGTATAACTTCTTTTTTTGGTA